ATACGATTATTTAATTTGTGTTACATGTCCATAATATATACTTTCTCCGTTCTTTTTTACTTAACCCGCTTTGATTTTTACACTATTCACCACCTCTCCTTTGACCATCTTGTGTGAATAATATGCAAGGAAAAACATATTCATGTTGGATCTTTTTGAATTCGTCTGAATAAGTACTATCATAATATATAACTTTTATAATTTTTACTTATAGACATTAAAGTTATTGATCATTAAAGTTTTGCATTGGCAAACATGATAAAAGAAACAGGTCAAGTAAAAAAAAACTAGAGGAAATACTTGTATATATATCCGGTCGGCATGAGACAAATTACCTTGAATTTGCGCCCATAATGATCCACGTATGTAGGAAAATTCCATAAATTTCAGTAAATGCACAACAACAACAACCATGCATAATACTCCCATTATATAATTATGGTGGGTGGTCCATATATATATATATATATATATATATATATATATATATATATATATATATATATATATATATATATATATATATATATATATATATATATATACTTTCATACAAGTATCTTGCAATTCCCATTATTTATGGCTGTCCTTGTCCTTGCTTTCGTCTTTTATTCCCTTCCATACTTTCATCTTTTCATGGACTACTCCGTACCATTCAACCTTTTACCCTACCTCATAACCAGATATAAATTATACCCGAAACTTGCTACTTATCCTATGTGTTAACCAACTATCAATCAAACTAGCATGTCATACAATTTCATTGTTAATTTGTTCCTCACTTCCTCTAGGTAAAAATCAATGCAAGCAACATTGCAAGTACTATTTTACAAATTAACATTATAATTATATTAATTATTACTCGTTATTACATTATTTCTTCGCATACTCGATCTTTCCTAAACTCACATATACGAGTAATAACAAGTATGTTATTAGGATATGTAATACTTCTTCCATTTCATCATATAGTTATTTTTAATTTGACTAATTGTCTCACAAAAAAAAATTTAAATAATAGAGCGAGTAAATTTTATTCAAAACATTTTAGTAGTACAGAGTAGTATTGTGTGACTTATGTGTACATTGTAATTAAGTTGTATGTACATGTATGTATTATTAGTTAGCTAGTTATGGACGGGAAGAAACTAGTGCAACTCTATATTATATGTATGCTAAAGATAATGATCTTGTAAATCTTGAGTGGTTTGTTAGTTATACGGTAGGAATAATTATATTGAATGTATAGTATGCTTATTATTGTTGTAATGAGCGTAGAAGTGGGGACAAGCAGGGCACAAGGAAGGGAGGAGGAAGAGGAGTGTACGGATTGTAAACAACTCACATAAGGATGGCTGGATGGGGGTTATTAGTCGGATACTTTCATACAAATACACACCCCAGGCACACATGTCAAGATATCACGTGATTGTCCAACCATCTTGCGACACGTGACACCCAGCTAGATCATCATGGATCATAGGAATTTAAATCGTCGGTGCACGTGTTTCGCTTAATTGGCGGGAACTGTAAATTGGCAGTTACTTCACTCACTTTTTTTTTTTTTTTTTACAGTTAGGTCGTTAACCCTTTCATGGGAATCTCTCTTTCATCTTTACCCCCTTCATTCCCTCCAATTTTTTAGCCCTTTTCCGTCTAGCTTAGATTTTGCAATATTTTCGATGAGTTTTATCATACACCTTAATATTGTAGAAAGGATTAAACCAATATAGTAAATTTGAATTATTGAAATAAAAAATTGCTCTCATTACTTTCTTACGTCCATTTCTATGAATCTGTGTATGTATGATAAAATTGAGTATTAGTTAGGTTCGAGCTATTTTCAATACACCTCTAAATTTATACATTTACACGTTTATTATGTATGTAAGCAATTTCACTAAACTAGCCATGCATGCATACTAAATGGCAGAATGTTTATTATACCTATACTTAATGAAAAGAGAAATAATAAATATTCAATCACCGTTCACAATCATCACATAACATAATTACTCTCTACGACTTTTAATTTGTATTCAATTTATATGCATGTCAAGTAAAGTACAGATAAAATTTTTAAACGATTACATAAGATCAAGAGTGTGAACTGTTAATTGTATATACACAAAGTATATTATTTTTGTGGGGTGTGGGAGGTGGGGTATTTCCTACATCATGATTGACCTCATTGTCAAATAGTAGTGAATTTATGCCGTTACTAATCCACCTTTTCACTTGAGTTTCATAAAATTCTTGATTTTCATAATTAAGTATAAGCTAGAAAGTGATTATTGAGGCTTCTAGGCTCTTGATCAGGGTTTAATTTTAACTGTAGTAATTTGTATCATGATTACTTGGTTTACTTCCAAAAATAAATTAGCCGTTTATTTTGCAATTACAAATAAAAATAAAACAAGAATTTCACTTTTAGTAATCATTTGGGAACGGACTATGGGTATAAACCATCATCACCAACATCCAAGAAGTGGTTCAGTTTAAGGGACAAGATAAGCCTAATTTATCAAATTAATTCCGTTAGTTTAAGGGACAAGATACGGCTAACTAATCGAATTAATTCCGTTATTAAAACTTTAACAAAATCAAGATTCACGCCCTTGGGCCTTGGCATTATCATTGCTTTGTCCACAAGCTTGTCTTACTTGCTTCGCATGCTTTTTAGGCTGCATCTCTTTGCATTCATTATACGAGTTACGTTCTTGGACATTCATGTCCCACGCAACACTATCTATGTACCCCTTCCTCTTTGAAACCGTAATCACACTATTATTTCCACCCTTCATAATTAAGGATTAGACGTATATAAAGTACATATGATGTGTGTAGTATTAAGAAACTACTCTGGTCTTCTATAATTTTAATATTAATTGGGACTATATCATAGGCAAATATAAGAAATCACGCGATGGGTGTTTACCAGATTCAACGACAAATCACCAAGATAACCTTTTATTTTACTTATTTTCGATAATTTTGTTGCCAAAAAAGAAAAAGAAAAATCTATCATAATATTATCATATGTTGCTATAAATACTTAATTAGAATGTATATAATAAGGCAACTCCTCAACACTAATCTAATTACAATAAGAATCAATTGAATAAGAAAGAGGTTTTAGAAAGGATGAACTAATTAACATCATGTTGTAATGTTGGTGCTATTGAAAAGCTCAACATGCATGCTAAATTATACATGTTCCAAATCTATTTTTATATATTTTCGGGTTATATAACAAAATCATTACTACATACTAAGGATAATATATACCTAAAAGGTACAGTAGATCCTTTTATATATTGATAATTAAGCTAACTACCAATAACAACTTTAAGAAATTATTGGCAACTATTGACTTTTCTGAGCATGCTTTGATTTGCAATTGGTTGCTGTTTTTTTAAGGTTTAGATGTATATTAACGGTCCATCCAATCATTTCCAACGAAGAGTACGTTATTTGTTCTTGTAGGAATGATTCCGAAATTTAGGGCATGTTGGAATCATAATTATAATTGTTATAAAAGCTAATATTTGCTTAAATTAGCTTGTTTAACAACTTAATTTATTCTTTCAATTGTGCTATGTCTGTCCCAATCTTGGTAGAGTTGTTTCGTGGTATCCTCACATGATGCAACAATAGAGTCTTTATTTACTCATTGAGGAAAAGAGAGTAGTCATATAAAGTATTATCAACTTTCTTTATAAACAAATTATAATGTACCTGAAAATGACTAATAATGTAGTTGGTGATTAGAATAAATTAACCCATTTACATACTCCTATATTTGTATCGGTTGGTATATACTAAGATAAAGGATAAATTGTTTAGGAATCCGTTGAAGGATCCATCGATCAATTGGTGTACACCATAATTACAAGAACTTCAAATTTTCAAGAACCTTTTTTTTAATATTCCGTAGTATTCAAAGATGAAGTATGTGATCTATACTTAATTATTCGACTTCAATCCGACTGGCAATTAACATATTTATTAGAATTAAAATTAGCCAAACGTCAAATTAAATCATTTTTTTTAATAATGAGGGAAAATGGTATCAGTTCGATTAATAAGAGACAACTTGTCAATAAGTAAATAAGAAGCAATCTCTATGAAAATTTTCCCAAGTTAATTCGATTTCGAAAGAAACCCCTACTAAGGTATTAAGGTGACGAGACAATGAGATAGAATAAAAAAAAAATTACACAAAGACAAGACACCCTCCAATTGAGTGATTGACATTTTGAAAACTGATTCATCACAAAACTTCCAAGCCCAGAAGTCCAAGAAACTTAGACAGCTGCCCTGAGTAGTGTGAGCTTATATGCGAGTAAAGTACATTTCTATTCTCTCTATTTATTGCTACTTATTATTGCTTGTTGCTTACCCGTAATGCATACTACCATTTTTAAATCGTCAATAACAAGGCAACAACACAATTATACATTAACCTAAGATTGATGATGTTAAAGGGGTGTAACGTGTAAGTTACTTTGTCATTCTATTCGTTTTTGCACACAACGTCTTCGATCAATTGTTTAGCTCAGAAAACTACGTTTTATCATTGCAGCGGTTATGATGATTACTCTATCTAGTGATAATTTTATTCATGCACACAACCTGTTTGATGAAATGTTTAGCTGAGTTTATCATCTTCTTGTTTTATTACCCTTATTTGAGTATATTCCCAGATGTTCGTAAACTATGTTGCAACCATCAAGTTTCCCGAATTCATTATATTCTTATAGCAACATTCACTTCTTACCATTCCAATAATTACGCGACACTACTTTTGTAACTAATATTTAAGATCCTTCACTATCAATGTAAGTTGAAGGAAGCAATATTAACAAATTTCTGGGTATGATTACTTAAATGGGTCTGATTTTGGTAATTTATTTAGGCTATGATTCAAATGGATATTTATTTAGGCTATGATTCAAATGGAATGTCCTCGTATTTCACGTTTGTGCAAAAGGTGTTAGATATGCAGTCTAAATCCTACAAGTTTGATACTATTTGATAATGCAGTAGTATGTATGTTTGAAACATCACTATTTATACTGCATTCATTTCTGTTAGGAATCACGGTTCATTTGTACTATTCTATGGTGACTGCAATTAGGTAGGCATGATGTCTATAGTTTAAGATTGCGGTCACCTACACCGTTTCCCAGACGACAATTCCATCGTGCTAATGTATTACGAGGGAGCTTGATATTGATATATGTGTATATTCCTAATAGATAATTCTTGTGAATCTGAAACCTAGTCGAATTGCACAATGATTATGATTATGGTTATGACTACTGGATGTATTGCTTTGAAAGCAAATTTATGAGAAATATGCCTTTACATGACATTAGTTTTTATATGATGCATAAGTGTTGGAGTTTGTATGTTTGGGTTATCTGACTTGTAGAAAGCCTTCCTATTCATGCAGTTTGCTAATGCCTGATAATATAATCAGTTGCAGAAGTAATTAGGTAAAGCACAATGCTTCAGCAACATAAGTTCCCCTGGTTTATCCGCAATATCTTTGTTCTGCACTGCCAACAGTTGCTTCATGAACTTGATTGCAAGCTTTATCATAATCATATCTCAAAAGGTGGCAGTATTGATGATACCAGTGATAAGTTACGAACTGTTAAAGAAAATGCTGAATGCCATTTCCAACTATATAAAAGCAAGGGTCAACATCTTCTGACTAGTGGATGGGTTCTTGACTCCATTGTGAAAAGCTCTAACATCAAAGCCACTGACACAGTTTTAGAAATTGGTCCTGGTACTGGGAATCTGACCCTGAGGCTTCTGCAAGCTGCCAGTAAGGTTGTGGCTATTGAGATTGACAAAAGGATGGCTGAAGCACTTCAAAAGAGAGTTGCTGAATGTGGGCTTGAAGATCGTTTAACTGTATGACAGAAAAATGTCTAATTATTTTTTATTTTTGTGGAATATCCTTAAGTCCTTATCAAGCTAGCAATTTTTTTTACACATTAGCTCACATAGATCGGTTTTGCAGCTAATATGTGAAGATGCAATGAAGACAGAGTTTCCTCATTTTGATCTGGTTGTGGCAAATATTCCTTACGGAATTTCTTCACCTCTGATTGCTAAGTTGCTGTTTGGAACTCGCCCCTTTAGGAGTGCCACACTTCTGCTTCAGAAAGAGTTTGCATGTCGCTTATTAGCTAATCCAGGGGATTCAGAGTTCAATCGGTTAGCAGTAAACGTGAAACTGGTCGCAGAAGTGGAACATGTTATGAACGTAAGCAAAAGGGACTTTTTTCCTGTTCCTAAAGTTGACTCGTCCGTTGTTATAATCAGACCAAAGGTGGACATCCCTCAAATTGATTTAAATGAATGGTGTGCATTTACAAGGACTTGCTTTAGTAAGAAAAACAAGACATTAGGTGCTACATTTAAGCAAAAGAAGAAGCTAAACGAGCTGATGAGAATATCTTGCTTTATAAGCGTGAACAAAGAAACTCCAATGCTTCACCCTTCTTCTGAAAGCAGTGATAAATATGAAGATGCAGAATCTGTTGAAGTGCTAAGTGATTCTACTCCATCTTTAGAAACGAGAGTCTCATTATTCAAAGAAAAGGTAATCAAAATTCTCAGAACTAGTGGGTTTGAAGACAAGAGACCTTTAAAGATATCTATAGAGGAACTATTGCATTTGCTGTCATTGTTTAATGAAAACAAGATCTATTTTCATGGCAATGAAAAAGATGTAAGCAATACAGCTCTGGACACTTTCTTTGAATCATAGACTCAGTTTTCCAAGGCAAAATATTGTGTAATTTTTGTATGTCCAATTATTGTCCACTGCTGGCCTTAAGTTGTATGCTAGTAGACTCCGGGACAACATTGTATTCATTCGTGGGATACACCGTGTCTGAAGGCTTTGTATAAAGGTAGCTCATGGAAATATGAGAAATATCTTTCCAAAAAAATTTCACAACTCACTCACTCCAGTATATGGTTTTACGAGCAAAAGATGAGAATATGGTGTTGGCTCTAATTATGATTCATGAGATCATTCAATTTCCTCAACACGAGGAAATGGTGCTGGCTGCCTGGCTCTAATGGAGACCGTGGTGCGACTTGGAAAGACTATGCACGCAGCTGCCATAACCCAATGGCCGGCTGCCAAATGATGCAGCTTTTGTGCATGTATCTGGGACAGTGGGACTCAAATCATCGCTCTTCGTCTATATTTGTTCATGGGTAGGTTTACAAAAGCTGAAGGCTCATGCAAGTTTTGTAAGATGAGCAAGTGTTAGTGTGTTAGATTTGTAAGATGAATCGTATTGTTACCACTTCATGGCATACCAATACGTGTTCATTATCATTAACTTAAATTATAGTTTGTTCATTAAATGTATTAACAGTCCACAGACCACAGATCATCAAATTGTAATTGCTTCAGAGCTGAGAATCAAAACAATTTCATTACAATAATATTACATGCTGAGATTTAGTAATCATAACAAAACACAAAGGACAATTTGTAAATGAATTTAAATGGATACTAGAATGTAATCATATCATCCTAATATCCATGGTAATGCAATTCTATCCCCCAAACAAACTATATAAGCGCACTTCTAACACGTGAAGGTAAAAAGATAGGCTGTGGCACTGGGTTTTGCTTTTGCTGCTGTTGGGCGGGCCTTTGCAGATTGGGCCTTTGCAGAGTGGCATCGTGGATCTTATTTTTTTTTTGGATGGAATTGAATGCTTTCAAATATAGGGGGTGGAGGGTAGAATTCCTATGTTCAATTTCATCTATTCTAATTTGTTTATTACTGTATTTTAATTTTTTTTAAAGTGAAATTTAGCTATATATATATATATTAATGCAAAGATGTAAAGCAGTTTTTTATTTTTTATTATTTTTTTTATTTTTAAAATTTTATCAAAAATTTTAATTATTACCGAGTATAAATTTACGGAGTATCATGAGTTAATTAACGATATACGTAATTATTAATAAGTCACCATATTCATACTACTATAACAACATTCTAGAATTTATTTCAAGTCTATTAACAAGCAATATATTATTTGTATCAATTGGTTGAGACCACATAAGATGTAGTGATCTTGAAATCTTAAACCATGTTAATATTTTATATATTTGGTTGCAAATGATAAGTATAGCGATCCTAAAATCCTAGATTATGTTATATATATTCATTGATGCTAAGGTAAAAAGGACCTTAGCTTTTTACTACACCTAGTAAAACTGACCCGTACCCGATTATATGACCTGAAATTTTCAACACAAGATCTTGTACTTGAAATCACTGTTTCTCCTCGATTCAAACTCGAAATCTATCTTAATGAGGCCTCGTTTGGTTGACACGGGAAATAAATTACCATAGGAAGTTGTATTTCATGGGAAATTATTTCCCAAATGAAATTCCTAGGAATTTCTTTAAGTTGTTTGGTTGTAAACTTGTAATAATGGAAAGTTGGAATTCCCATGAATTTTGAATGACCAAGGCGGGTCTAGGTCATTTACTTCCTACATTTTGTGGGAAGTAGAAATTCCTATGTTCCAACTTTCCTCATGTTTGCTTTTTTGTGTCAACCAAACAACTACCCAAATTATAAAATCTCATGAATTTTCACTTCCCCCATTTTATTTTATCAACCAAACAACCCCTGACTCTTACTTGAAAACAACCCGACCATAACAATCACGATTGTGATCTCTATTTTCACTAATAAGCCTACATAGTTGTCCACATCCATCTATAGGCTATAGCTATAGCTATAGCCCATATCTAATGTATTTCATAGGTGAGGGATGAATACTTTTATATCGTGGATTTGACAATTATGGTATATATATGGTGCCATGACTGCCAACCATTAAAGTTTTGACAATGACAAAACAAACAACTCCATAATTTTTTGAACCTTCCATTTTATTTCCTTTCCGTTATCAGCTTCTATCTACAATCGTTGGATCATATGATCCATAATAGTACGATCAAATGTACTGTGATTCCAAGCCCTTTTCAATGGGCCCTGAAAATCCACTAATTAAGAACACGTGTGGAAGCTTTTAACAAATTATATTCTTTTGGCAATCTGACGTTAAAAATTCTGCAGCAATTTTTTCTTCCTTAGGCTGAGAGTAACTTTGCTAGTGCGCTAGGAAGAAATTTCTGTCCTTGAGTACGTTTAAGGAGAATTGCCCAACACCAAAAATGCACTAACCTAACCAACTCATATATGCCACAAAGTTTTTCCCTTTAGACCACACTCCACTTCGACCATACATAGCTAATCAAATTATTTTATGCAATATATAGGAAGTACCTAAGAGTTTGCTCTATAAATCGTTGTACTCAATGTAAACTTTTGAATCCATATTTGACAAATCAAATTTCTCAAACCTTTTTTTTAAGAATGCATCTATGACCTCTAATCCTTGTAAATAAGCTTTATATACTTATATTTTGTATTCTGTAACTATTACCAAGCCGTAAATAATCCGAGTGCTTAAATCTCCAAAATCGATCATAGCATATAATATTTCAAATTTTCAATTGAAGATGCATATTCATATGCACGTGTAAAGATCAAAGGATCATTCTCAAATACATTATACAAAAAAGCTTGGAATTATATGAACTAATTTACAAGCATAGATAGGTTTGCTGTGTTGAATTTTGATAACGGATGATAATTCGAGAGAGTTCACACTTTACACTTCATAGAGTTTACACAATCCCCACATAAAGTTAAAAAAAAAAAAACAAAAAAACATTGTGGTTTGTAAAAGGGCCCAAAAATCAGGTTATCTATATTATCTTGCTGACTTCCTTTTGCCTAGCTAGCTAGCTTTGGTGGGCTCATGCATCTACTTGTAATCATTTACTCCATAAATAAATTAATCATCAAAGAGGACTCTTAACTTTCATCATCATATCCATGATTTGTAACTGAGATGGGAAGTTTTTGCTTCATCTTCACAGTTGGAAAGTATACTATTTCGTCTTTCTCTGCTACCCATCTGTCAGGTTTCGATTAAAATAGAACAGAGAAAGTATGAACATAACTATAGGAGTATATTAATATGTTACATGTTCTCATGTGTATTGTTATCATGTACTTCAATCCGTTTCAAAATACAAGTAATATATCCATTTGCACGTCCTAGTTTGGAGATTAAGTGGTTGATTATATGCAAACAAAACAAATTGAAAATCGATATAGTGAAGAAGTGTTAAACAAAATGTGTATATGTACGTGTTGATCGAATTGAAGTTGCGAAAGTTGTTGTCTAAAAGAAGAAGAAGTACCTATAAGTAATAACAAGATGATGAAGAAATATAGAGATTTCTAGCCTTGAAAATTCAAGACCAGGGCATAATCTCTGACCACCACCAAACGGAGAAAATGTATTGCTACTTGCAACAATTCCTTTCTTCTGTAAAAAAGAATAAAAAAAGAGGCCGCCCAAAAAGTTAGAAAGTTCAGATCAAATTATCAATTAAGATTATAATACAATGATGATGAATTGATGGTGATAATGATAGTAATGGGTTGGTAAGTAATACTGTAATCATTATGAGTGGGAAGCAATGATTGATGATAATGACCATGCATGATGTTTGTGCTATAATTATGGATTATGGAGTATTTATTATGTTTTTTGTCAAATAACATAACATGCACTTTCTAACCTCCCATCTCCACGGATCAAAATCATATGGATTCTCATAATTTTGTTCATCCATATGAATTGATGTTAAGGATGCTAGTACACACCATCCTTTTGGTATCAAATAACCTGCAAATTTAGATATCATACTCATTACTTATTCTTTTATCAATACATTGAAATAAGGTACGACTTTCAAAGTAATTTTTATAAGCTTAAAATTAACACTATTCACATATCTAGGAGATTGAAAAAAGTAATAATACTATGATGAATACAAAGCTAAATAATTTGATAGAAAATATTGTCCATGGAAATCTCACCTTTAATTTCTACATCTTCAGTGGCTTGTCTCCAAATTGCATTTATGATATTTGCCATTCTTAGAGTTTCACTAATTACCTAATAGGAGAGCATAAACATAGTTAGAGTTATCAAGTATAAAACCAAGTTTGTTGTTTGAAAATTTACGTACACAATCAAATTAATTTAAAAATAACTCACATTTTGGGTGAACGTCAAAGACATGTAGTCAGTCCATGCATAGGAGTTCCCTGAATTAGCCTTCTGCCCCTTCAATTCCATGTTCTCATCCTACTTCCCCACAAAAAAAAAAAAAAAAAAAAAAAAAAAAATTATAATTACAGGCAATGTCTCATTAATTTAATCAATAATATTAAATTGTGTAAATTTCCTTTGAAACTTTCATTGACAAACGGCGTGTTATTTAAAAAAAAATGATGATAACTTACGTATATAATACATATTCTAACTTTATGAGAAGAATAATCGGGGTAATTATAACCAACATGATTTATCGTTTCCTCTACCCGAATATTATAAGTAGCTTATACTTATCCAATTTATTTGGCCCTAAGTTGATCACAATTCCACGTTTCGGAAGACCCACAAAAGGGAAAGTAAATGGTTTAATTTGTTATCATAGGAAAGGAAGAATAAAGGGGTACTCCGTATATAAAGATTAAAGATATCCTTGTCTTGAACAAAAAGGCCAAATCAAATTAATTAAGTAATGAGAAGTCAAAGTTTGGTATGTAGCTAGCTTAGGTAGCTTCTTTGTGGCTTTATATTAGACGTGGACGGTAGGGGTTCACTGCCCATGCAATATGAATATGCCCCCAAAATTTAAAACGTGATCACGACAGCTCATTGCACACCCATTTTAATTAATGCTTACCTCCATCAACTTGTGACCGACAATATGCACTAGATCTAGTATAAATTGCTCGTACGTGTAACGGGTATATTGTATACAATAATTCTATCAAATATTTGAATTACTCGATCTAATGTGAACAAAAAAATTCCAATAATGATAGAGGTTATAGAATTAAGTAAATTAGTACAGTATTAAGCTAGAAAATAAAAGGCAGTTGGCAAAAACTTACACTCCAACACCACATGTTAAGTCACCGAAATTAGGGTTGTCCAACATGCATGCAAAAGTACAAGACAAGCATAATACGAATATGAATAAACCTACAAGTAACTGCATAATAATGATTTCATGACACACTTACCACAAGTTGTTTCAAAGCAACGGGGTTGTCACTGAGGTATTTGACGGCTAGGGTCATCACCATTGGCACCGAGTCCTCTCCGGGGACCATCATTTCGATTATGTTTCCGGCGATAAAATCCAATGGTTGACATTTATCGGCTTCACTTCGGTCATTGATGTCACGTAACAATACGTCAATAGCGTCACTCCCATAGATGGTTGCACTTAAGTTGTCGGTGTCATGAGTTTTATTGCTTAACCTCTCTATAATTATCTTTCTTATCATTCTTTGCAACCTCTCTTTGGCCTGCATGCATCAACATCAAATCTTTTAGCAAAAATAATCAGAAGAGTATACTTTTCAAATTACAATGGTATAATGACTATAATCATGCATATCCATCCCTTAAAAAAGTTGACACCTTAAATTGTAGTTGCTCATGATCGAAAGTGAAAACTATGGGTGGGTCACATATGTGTGAGGACATAAGCATAATTAGAAAGTTATGGGGGCCTAAATTTAGAAAATAATTTAAGTACTCACATATAAACCTACTAAAAAGATACCAACTTCTTTTTACTTTGTAAGGGACAAAGAGGATATAGTTGCTTGAGTATTGAGAGAATGAAGACAATACTATTCTTGTTTTAGCGTGTATCCTTATCTTTTTTCTGCCTTCATTACACACAAAGTATGTCTTAGAATGTTGTACTCGATCTACAGAGGATATGCCTAAAATGTTAATGGCTAAGGCCACATTGGTAATTACATGAGGGAACTAGTAGACAGATACCAACCAACCCTAGTTGGTCCAAAACCTATTATTGTTATTAAATGATACTCTTAATGTAATTTACTAAACAGCATATTGGTTGATGGAATCTTATTCATTAAGCAAGTAAGTTAGTGTGGACTACTGCGGAGTACCACAATGTATTAATTGCATAACCCATAGTTTGCGGATCTTGATGATAAAAATAATTGGGGATGATGCCAACTTTATTTTAACTCCTAAGTCATCATGCATGCATATATGCACTATTAATTTGTTACTTGGTATTTAAAAAAATAAATAATAAAAAAAAAAGGTCTACCTTTAAAGATTTGTAAAGTTGTGTGCCAGGGAGCTTGATTGGCAAACAAATCAAGCCTTTGATGAACTCTTTATACTCTTTCTTGAACAATTCCATTTCTTCACCAGGACCCAGGCTCATTAGTACTTTCACCAATATCTCAAACGTAAGCTGAAATATGGCCCATACAACGTACATACAATTATTCACTTCAAAGTTTTACTGAATGATTTACTTGCAAAATATAAATAATTTCTTTTTTCATAATAATGCACCTGATTAGTTTGATCTTGGATGTAAACTAGGCTACTATGTTTCCATTTCTCCAGGGACATCTTAACAGAATTCTCAATGTCTCTTGTAATTTGGACTTTCAATTCCGGGGACTTCAAAAATCTTCCGATCGACGCGTGTACTCTCTTATGGAGGGCTCCATTCATTCTCAATATAGAGGATTCACCAAATAGTTCAGTTATGGATTTTGGATAAGATGGAATGAATATGTTCCCATGGTTTTGTAACACCACTTTGTTTATTTCTGGATCAGTCGACACTATTACCGGTTTCCCTAATAGATGTGTTCTGAAAACCTTTCCGTACCTATATAATAAGAGCGAAAAAAAAAAAAATATATATATATATATGATCGCTATGACAAGATCATCTAAAAAAGAATGTCTCTCCCTAGATTATTATCATTGCATTAGGGTGAGAGCACATATTTACAGGTGATCAATGTGCATGAAAAGTATCATACGTGATACAATATACTATTACAAAAATGCATGTGATATGAGACAGTACATGCATGATGCAACAAGCAAGCAAAAGGTAGATTACATGAATTACAAGTACATGAGAAGCATAGTAAAACAAAGAATGAAAGTGTGAAACATGCAATGGCCCTATGACACAGAGGAAGGGAGTCATTATTTTTTACATTGGGAAACTCAAAGTCTATTAATGTGAGTAGCAAAGGATTTATAGATTTGTGTGTTTGTGTTTACAGCCAGCGGAACCAATTTTGTTCAGATTCACATAGGAGGCTCCAGGTTTTTGAGTCAATTTACTGTAGTCAACAGTCTTTTCCATTCAAAATACTCCTATTTATTAGCCTCCTTTTCCCATCCTATTCAAAGGTACTATACCTGGTAAAACTGTTATGCTTTGAGCAACTTGAACTCCAATTGTACCCAAGACTAGATAATTTATTTTCGAGTCAGTAGATTAAGCCAACCCAGCCGATTATTGACATGTAATATAATACTCTGTACTCCGTAAGTTTTATTTTTAATATACTCGAACGCGGCCTAATTACGACAAATTGAATAACTCGTCACATGAATTGAATTTTGTGAATAAACATCCATTCTAATAAAAATTTATAATTCTCACATTGTAATTAGTGTGCTATATATCTTTTTTTTCCTGTATTGTTTTGTTATGTAGTGTTTTGTTTTGTTACGTGCTTTGCGTGAAATTATTCAAACTACTGACTAGTCAATCAACTACCATATGCTAATATACTATGCAAGTAATATTCCCACTAAATATATACGAGCACTAATGTTATGAATAAAAATAAAACTGCTACATTGATTAAAGAAAAGAGACAAAAAGGTTTCTTCCAGATTGACTACTGTTGCCCAGGGGGAAACTTCTGCAGAACAGACCCTTATGTCTCTCTTTTTCAACATACATACATAAATATAATTCATTTCATAAACAGGAAAAACAATGTTATCTTTATACACTTGTTCTTCATTTGTGTTACTTTCCACTTCTTCCTATGTTTTCAGTTGTTGTTTATTAACCCAAACATTATCAAGTTCTGTAGAGGTAGACCAACATTATAAAGTTCTTTAGAGGTTGACCGGAAAATTCCAAATTTATGCATATAATTAGAGGCCCAACACGTCACGAGGCCTCCTAATGGGCACAAGGACGACACCGGCCGGTGGACCGGCATCAACTTGGCCTAAATATAGCGTGTGGACCGTGTTAATTAACTGACAGACCCACTAAGAGAGATAGCCCTTGACCGCTATACACAATCCATTGTCATCTTTAGTCTTTATAAAACCAAATTATATTTTTTAATTATATGCAAATTGCAATAATCCTATATAGAATCTAACAGTGTGTTGACAAATGGTACACTGTTGATGCATTGATTGTATGGTACAATCAAGTTACACACTAATTAGCTCCATTGATTAATTTACAGTAAAATCACAAACTTAGCTTGCTGTTGATTGCTTGCATGCTCTTATTGCATGCTACCTTGTAGACAACTTGAATATTAAGTCATTCCTATTTCCTAAGTGATGAAAAAGGAAGAGATATGGTTAAAAATTCTTATACTCCATATGAGGTTATCTCTCAATAATAGCTATACAACGATGGCTCAGGGTGATTCAATTCATTATTTTTGAATTCCTGTGTTAGACTTACTTTTTAGATTATTTTTTCTCCAGTCCTATTAAGTTCAATTATTGTTAAACTTCATTATTAAGTTGTAAAAGAACAGTCACAATAAATTTATTAAAAGCGACAAAGTATCCACTTAAAGGTTTCTCTTGACGTAACATACCAACTTTAGGGTCTACTACCCAACTAATCTAGCTAAGTCTAGATTAATAGAGTTTAGGAGGATGCTAAAGAATTTTTTATAATGGAAGAAAATTTTAGTAATATAATTAATACTATGTAATAATGATATAAATATTGTAAGACAATGTCACCTAATCTTTTTACTCTATTCTATTTTATACAGTATGTAATCGTAACATTGATTGATTTTAAAATAGAGAATTGAAGAAAATAAAAATTGGATTGACCGACTTCTATATTGATGAGCAACCTGAAAAGGGCAATTACCTATTGTAGTGATACAACCCACTAATGATGATGGATGACAATACTATTGGAAAAAGATGATAGATGATGATGATCTTCACGGCTCTTATGGAGCAAGAAAATATCATGCATGCCTTTCATTTTCATAAATAGGTCATCGATCACACCACTTTTTATCGGTAGATTTTTCATAAGCAATTAAGTAGGTGTGTTAGTTGATGTTGGTGTTAAAGAATCATGATTATTAAAGGTGTTGTTTGTGGTTCTTAAAGAGTTGCTACAACTCTTGATCTCTTCTTCTGTGCGTTTAACATGTGTACCTACTCTTAATCATAAGCCGTTGTTGTTGTTATTATTATCATTATTAAACAATTAATCAATCTCTCTAGGGTCTTAATTATTATAGGGAAAAGGCAACAAACCCACAAGCCAAAAGAGCATTAATCTCAATGGCAGCTTTTATCTACTATGAGTAATATACACCGATTAATATCATTATTTTAATTGTTATTGGGTTAATTTCAATGTATATTATCAATTTATTTAGCTTTTATTAATTTTACTAATATATAATTATATATATATGTGATCAAAGTAAGTTTATAAACGAATGCATCTATTGATAACGGGAAATTTTAATTACAGTGTATAAATTTGTGCAATATAAGAGGATACCTTTAACATGGATGGGGTGAGAATTTAGACCAAAGCAAAAAAAAAAAAAAAAAAAAAAAAAAAAATAAATAAATAAATAAATAAATAAATTGGTGGAATATGTTTCAAACCCCAACTAGGATATAATTCGTATATAGAAATTGGGATACGATGCTACCCTGAGTCGCCCATATGGTCATCTCAATCTCAATCTCAAAATAGGCGAATTTCCAAAACATAATAAAAATATAAAATCTACTCCATTTTTTTATTTTATGAAAAGTTGAAAACCTCATTTTCGTACGTAAAATTTTTAATAAACAATTTATGAAAAAAAAATTTGAAACACAAAAAAATTCATAGGTATTAATGGGAAATTTTGACTTTTAACATCAAATTAAACACACGAAATGAAAACCTTTTTTAATTCTTCAAATACACTTGGAGGTTGGAACATCGATCATTTTTTTTTTTTTTTTTTATTTCATTGGTACGGAGTAATTGTTTAATTGTAATTTAATGAACTAATTTATTGTCTCCTATTTAATTAAGTGTGTGATCATAAATTAATAATGAATTGATCTGACTCTTTCTCTGCTAATTATCGGTAGATTAGTACTGAGAAATTGACGGTAGACTGTGTTGACAAAATGAAAAGACCTTGATAATCTGTTTATGTTGGAATATAAGATCCACTATTCTATATCAGTACAATTCCACTCGGTAGTTGTTGTATTGTTGGCCATGTCAAAAACTACACCACCCCATTTTCTCAACAAATAAATCTTACAAGTGATCATACAAAAATTAGCAAACTTTGGATCAAACTAAGGCCTTTTCTTTCCCTAAGCTAGAAACGTACAATACTAATTAATTCGGAATGGATGAAGTACTAATTAAGTCTTAATGTATTTACTTAGTCGGGATGGATAAATTTGCTGTGAAATCTCAAATAATCGAACTGTTTTAACAGAGATGTTAAAGACGATGATGTTGTATACAAATACATGTATAAGCAATGAAAGCGAAAATGAAACAATTAAGTAGAGAGAAAAGGGGAGAGAGAGATAAACTTACAAGGATTTGCGTTTGAGCATGAAAGAAACAGGCTTGGAGGTGTAAGAAGAAGCGATGAATTCAAGAGTTTCGCCAATAAAAGGCCAACCTGAACATCCATTAGGAACCCTACTCCTGATATCTTCCATGTTTTTGTATTTCATCTTCTTTTCCTTTAATTTCGACCATCGCAGCAGCAGCAGCAGCAGCAGCAGCGGTGTGATGATCAGCCCCATAGCCGCCCACCATCCCCCCATCATTTCTCTCTCAATCCTCTTCAATTTCTGGGTTACAACTTACAAGTGCAATGACTTACTTTGTGTTATGATAACTTCCACTTGAGAGTAGTCTTTATTTGTATTCTTTCAATAATCTTTTGATTGTTCCCTTTCTTTACCTTTTTAGTACCTTATTTTTCTATTCGTTTTTTTTTTTTTTTTTTTTGATGGGGAATAATTTATATTTAGGTAATAAAGTGAATCCTTCACAGATTAATCCAAATCGTTGGGATCCCTAGAATCAGAGGTGATGTCTACTCCACTAACCTATCATTTCTTGCTCTTAAAACAAATCTACAAATACTAGTATTCCCAAATCCCAATCGATATTTGTGTTGTATACAAGTCAATTGTGAAATATCGACATTGTTATATACTAGTATATGAGTACTATATTATGGACTATGTGCTACCAACCACCCATTTCTTTATAAATGTAAGTTATTAAGATCATACAATATGTTATTTATTCTTTTTTAGTTGACACGTTTCAATTCTTTTTTTTCTAAGTTGCTTTCATTTAAAATATTTATGCATGCATTTTTATGCAAATAAGATCTAAGTACAAATTTTTATAATATATATATATATATATTGTATAAAAATATGTTAATGAAAATGGTGCAAATTAATTTGCAAATTAAAAGAACTTAAATAAACAAATGGGGCATTTTTTATTTTTTTTTCTTCCAACAATAATTCTTATATTAATTTAGAGATTTCATAAATTATACTCGTAAGATATACTACCTTCGTCCTGAATTAATTACACTAGTGTAACTTGTGTAGGATCTTATGGAAAATGATAGTGCCGGGGAGGGTCGGAGGGGAATTGCGGGGATGGGCCATTTTCTTGGTGCAGTGAATGAGCATGGATTATAAATATTTGTCTGGAAACTCCATGACCTTATCTATACAGAATTATTAAATTAAATCATTTATACAAGATCAAATCAGCTTATAAAAAAGCTAGGTTCCAATACCTAAGATATTTTTCTAATTCTAACATAACTCTGCCTAACCTAATATTACTCTTAAACGAAGTATATTGTACTTAGGTCCAGAAGTGTGTGATCGAGGACTGAATGGAAAGGGTCGGCAGGATTCGAAGATGGGTGGATTGGATACCAACCCATGCTGGCTCCAGTTGACCTATACAGTTGGCCCCACTGGGACACCAAGTAGCATCAATATGGGTCTGGTGGTCTAGTGTAGATAAGTATTTTAAAGGAATAATAATGTGTACATACTACGTCCCAAAGAAAATAAATGTTACATGCAAAGTGTTTTCTTATTATTAAAGTTACGACATGTCTTCAAAAAACCATTTTTTATAATTAGATTATTACCACTAATTTTCAACAGTCATTGAGCAGTAGAGACGTGAGAGATTATGAGAAGGATAACTAGTGATTAGTGAAAAAGGTGTTTCTACTAAAATCACGAGCTTAAAAAATTAGAGTAATGTGACAACTTCAACTCTACATTTATTAGCCTCTCTAGCATGCACAGCACACCTTAACAAAACTTGATTTTTGACTTGTTATTAACTTTAGGCTTCTAAAGAAATTCATATAACCTAGCTAAGTAGCTAAGAAAATGCAAAAAGAAGGAAATATAAACATTCAAATTGAAATACCAAATGGCTCTGACAATGCAGATAGAAGCTGTAAGGTTGAAAATCAGCATTCATTCCTGCAAATGAGAAGGAATACTCAGATCAGATACAAATCATACAATAAATACAGAATATGAAAAATTGGTAGTAAAAGGATGAATGTTACACAGATTGATAAAGAAAAAAAAAAGGCAGCAATATCAACGTGTGTTCTCATCTGTTGAGAGCATTAAGTGACTGGAGCACTACTATTCTGCTAGTAAGCCCATAGACCCCTGCAAACTATAGGCCAGTACTCTGTACTACTATTACACTTTCTAATTTACATTTAATAATTTTCCTTTAAATTGCACATCTTATTCTTGGGTGGGCTGCTACGCCTTACCAAGTAGGAGTGCTACAATGTACAGGGCTAGTGCTTCCACTCATTTGGCCAAACAAACTACAGCATTCTTAAATGTGCGTGGTTATTCATGCTGCCCTGGATACTTCCTTTTAAAATCTAGCCTATTGGCTACATCTTACAAGTCAACTCTTTCTAATTTCTTCATCTTATTCTATTTGTAGGTAAGAATGTAAGATGAAGGACCTTATTAAGATGAGACTTTTCACAAATAGTTTGATTCGGACAAGGAAGTTAGACATTTTAGAAATAAGGAATATCCTCGTATAGCAACAATTAAATAGAATTCCAAGGTAGGCATAGGGTTAGAGGGTGAAAACAAGTTACTCCGTATATATCAGTACTTATTCGAATCGTATCATATTTACGTACTCTGTATATTGTGACTAACTTCCAACAAGGAGACTAGTTTTTGGTTTGGATCAGCTCTAAATTAGTTTTAAGTCTAGACCTTTTTAAGTTTCTTTCCGGAATGTAGCCCACTATCTTCTGCTATAATGGATGATGGTGTAAATAGATGCGTGTAGTACTGTACTAGCAGCTACCAATAGAATTGTCTTTGATAATACCAGAAAAGACTGGTTTGTGAGGAGAAGACTGTTCCTACATAGGATGGAAATTGCAAATTGTCCACTTCCTCTGGTTCAACTTCAACAAAGACATTACCTTCTAACCTTGTATCTTCTTTTATTTGATAATCCCGTATCAATAGGGACCAATCTTACTTTAACGAGGAATATAGATATGCACCAAAACAAGAATACACCAAATTGATATTCAAATCTTTTTCAAACCAAAAGTAACATTAAGCACCAAAGCAACATTGTGCCTTTTCCATGGAAGTGTTGGAATACTCCGTATAATTTTTATCTAAATTAAGCATTCTACAGAAGTACAGAGTACAATAGTTTTATAAATATCATACGACTATCAATCAAGGCCTGCATCTCATACAAAGAATTAAAAAACGAACATGCAATTATTAGAACATCAACAAATTTATATGATGATTAAGGGTGAATTTGAGTCACCTGAAATCTTATGAACTTTATAGAGCTTGAGCAAGGGAGTTTGTGTCATTCATCATTCACTTTATACAAAGGAGGCTTCACCATTCATGTTTCTTCCAATTTCCAACTTCTGAAGTTTCAACTTTGTCTCATAAAATAATAGTCAAAGCTCAAGGGTACACCAATAATTTCTGTACAAAATACAAGCAGCAGATCATTGTCACCCACCATTAATGGAGAGCAGTCCTGCTTATCCTACATGTTTCCTTAATGAAGCCAGTGTTCATGGCAGATTGATTGGCAGAACAAGTGAAGCAGTGGGGAGACAAATAAATATGGTTAAAGTTTCGCTATATTTAACCAAAATTTCCTAGTACAAAAAAGGCAATTTATGAGTATAAATTACATATTGTAAGCATAAACCTTATCATGATCTACCAGCACAAACCATGGCTTCTTCCTCCGCAACCTTGTAGAAAGAACTTAGTTTGGTTATTGCAAGAGCTTCCCCAAAGAGGGTTGCTCTCGTGGATCTCGATATTTTGACTTCTACAAAGTCACCAACTCCAGGATTTCGCTTATTTTCATCTTGGCTATCTCTATTAGGCAATGGCATAATTGGAAATATAACTCTATGACCCTTGTCACTCTTACCAATCAGCTCTGTTTCAGGAGCTCTTCGATTGGGTCCTTCAACCAACACGAGCTGAATTGTACCAACCTGAGAATCGTACCTCTTACCGGTACTCTCACGAAAGGTCTCGATCATTTCTGTCAGCCTCCTTTGCTTGACATCTTCAGGAACATCATCAGTATAATTCCTATGGGCATGAGTTTTCTCCCTCATGCTGTAGGCAAACATGTATGCCATATCGTAGCCAACAGCCTTGATGAGGCTAACTGTATCTCTAAATGCCTCCTCTGTTTCCCCACAAAAGCCTGCAAAAATTGGCAGATATAAATTAATAAATACACATGGTTTACAATACATTAAACAAAAGTACGATGATTGAAAGTGTAAAACTCCACTTTGTCTAATCATCTCTATAGGAAAATCACAAGATAGAGACTCCCTCTACTAGGACTTAATAGTCAGTCGCATATACTATGTTAGGATTCCTTAAAAAAAGGGTCTTCCCTAGTATAGTAATGGTTTGATGATTGGGGAGAAGATAGAAATAACACGACTACTATGCGGGGTATATTTATAAAAACATATCCATATTTATCAGAGGTTGAGAAAATTGTGACTATTCTGGATAGAAAGAGTAGTTAACACTATCTAAATTTCAAAATAAGCACTTGCAGGAAAGACAATTGATAGCATGAGACTTCTGAATGGAATCAACAAGTCAACAATTACATTGACACAGTTGCTTATTAAACAAGATCAAGCACCACAAAATATATATTTGAATATCAGAGGAAACTGAGCTGGCTTGATACTAGAGGGTCATATAGGTTTTCCAAGATAGATCTGCAAAGAAGGGAATCCACAAGGCACATGCATGAATTGTATTTAGGAACACAAATAATACAGGGGAAAAGTAATTCCTGTAAAATTATACACAATTATAGGTACCAAAGTTACAAGAGGTCATCAAAAAAAAAAATAGATATCCCTATCTCGTCTATGTGGTTATACTACTATAATGCAACCTAAAAATTGGATATATTAGCAGCACAGTATCCTTACCGCATATAAAATCACTTGTCAGAGCAACATCTGGAATTATCCTGCGAATTTTCTCTATAAGTTCCAAGTATGCCTCTCGAGTATAGCCCCGTCGCATTCTTTGAAGTACTTCACTATTTCCAGATTGAGCAGGTAAATGTACGCTTTTGCAGATATTATATCTATCCCGCATAAGATACAGCAGATCGTCAGGAAAATCTTTGGGGTGCGGAGATGTGTATCTGAACCGCATATCAGGGAATTCAGTGGAAAGCCTATCCAATAAGTCAGCAAAGCGCAGGCCCGTTGTTTTCACCTTGCACATACTCGAAAAGCCTTCACTGAGTTCCCAATTGTTTCCAGGTTCAACATCCTTTTCAACTCCAGATGCGTCATTATAGCTATTCACATTTTGCCCAAGGAGTGTTACTTCTTTAACCCCTTCCTTCCAAAGCTCTTCTACCTCTCTAACAATTGAATCTACAGGACGTGAGCGCTCCCTACCTCTTGTGAATGGAACAATGCAAAATGAGCACATATTGTTGCAACCTCTCATAACAGAGACAAAAGCACTAATGGAATTCTTTGAAACTCGGACTGGACTTATGTCAGCATAAGTTTCTTCAAGAGATAGAAGAGTGTTTATCCCTTTTTGACCATAATCTACCTCCTCAAGTAAACGTGGAAGGTCTCTATAAGCATCAGGTCCACACACGACATCCACCATCTTATCTGCATCTAGTATCTTATCCTTTAATCTCTCAGCCATGCATCCCAAAACCACAACTTTAGGAGGGCGGACAGACTGTGACCTCCCTTGGGCAACATTGGTTTTCCAATTCCTCTTCAGAAACCAAAAGTAATTGAGACGTTGCCATACTTTCTGTTCTGCATTGTCCCTAATTGCACAAGTATTGATAAAGATGACCTCTGCACTCTCAGGAGCCTCAACCATTTCATTATACCCAGCATTCTTCATAATAGCCAATACAATTTCCATGTCATTGACATTCATCTGACAACCATATGTCTCATGATAAACACGACCTTTTTGAGGAGCCTCAGAAACTTCCAAAGTGCTACACAAACATCAACGAAAGCAAGAAGGAAAGACCATCTTAGAAACCAAGCGATATTAAAAGACATACAATTCCCCACAAAATGAAGACATAAAGAAAGTTTGTAGTCTGCAATGGACTATTGGAGTTCAAATGAGGTATAAAAGTGATTCGTCGAGGTTCAATGATAATAAATAGTATCAGCTTGTGGCGGTTTGTGAATTGCAAAGTTGGTGGGATATCCTTTCTTGGTATAGGAAGTTAAATGTGATTAGAATCCACTGCACTATAAGATGTTGCACAATATATTATTGATCCATAAATGAGACTCCGTAGCCTATGCGCAAGTGTCTACAAGACCACAAGCATTCCCTCTAAAAATCTTCTGCTTCTCTTAGAGTCGTACATAAAAATAAAATAAAAAATCTGATCAAACAGAAAAGGCTCCCCTTCATAAAATAATTCAATTAATCAGCAAATCGAAATTTAGGGTTTAACTTGGACTTACAAAAATCATCCAATTGACCTAAACTATCAGAAATAATGGTGTAATTAAGGTCAGAAAACAGCGGATGAGATCAAACTCATCCCCAAATCATCAATTAGACCATTACAGGCAAAATTCATACAATTAAGCAAATCATAACAATAACGATAAAGAAGAAGTGAGTTAAATAAAAAAACACTTACTCAGGAAGAATCTCAGTAGGAGAGAGAGAAGCACGAGGCATGAAATGTCGGAGATTTAGGGCATCAGGAAGATTGGAGAAGTTTCTAGAAAGAGAAAGGGTAAAGGTGGGGATGGTGGTGGCCCACTTGGTAGTGGGAGGGTGGCGGATGAGGGAGGGGAGACGGGAGAGAGAGAAAGAGACGCATCGTCGGTGGAGATGAATACAGAGGGAGTAAGGAGGGCGGTTAACTATGGACGACAACGATGTTGTCAACGAACAAGACGACGCCATTGATGGGTGTCTGCGCGAGCTTCTCAGACTGTGAGTGCGGCTGTCGCCCTTGTTTTTGTGGACTGGTTTTGCATTTCTCTCCCGTCCTCAAATTGGATAGAGTTGCTGCGGCCCAGAAAATACAAGTCGATCTTTTTGACGTGCATAAGAGAGGTGTTAATCGGGCGAGTCGATCAGCTAACGGGTGCTCGACTCGACTCGAAAACTTTTTTTATGTGCTCAACTAGTGCTCGTTAAAGTTTCGAGCCAATAAAATCTGCTCGACTCGTGCTCGTTAAAGTTTAGAGTCGAGTAGCTCACAATCTGCTCGTTAAAGTTTTGGCCTTTCTAAAATTATAGGCCTTTATTGTTTTTTTTCCACTTATATAGTTTTCTTTTAATTATTTTATTTATTATTAAAGATTTACTCTTTCTTTTTTGATAATATAAATTACCTCTTATTAAGTGTCAAATTTGTTTATGGTAATAACTTTGCTTGTAAATTCTATATTAATAAAAATATAATATCGAGTTGCTCACGAGCTTATCGAATCGAGTTAGAGTTTGCTCAACTCGTGCTCGTTAACATCTCGAGTCGAGCCAACTCAAGCCGAGTTTTGACCAAGCTTTGACCGAGTCAAGTCCGAGTTGCTCAACTCGATTAGCACCCCTAATATTAACAACCATATTAAAGGTATATCGAAAAATGAATTCAGTTTAACAAGGGGTTACACTGTAATTTTAATTTGACTAACTTGGATACATTGCCATATAACGAAGCTCGTAGATTGAAACCTAACAAATGTCGTTTGCTTCGTGAAGAAATCGTTAAAGGAGGAGGGAATTCAAAAAAACTTCAATGAACGGTGACATTGAAGCTCATGGGCAAGGACAATGGAGGAGGATAACACCCATTCCCTTTGAATTTGACCATGCCCACAGTCTCACCCTTTTTATAGGGTTTTTCGTTTAATTTGACTATCTGTATAAACTTGAACTGATAAAATTGCATTGAATAACTAAAAAAACATCTTGTTGCTCTCAACTCTCAAGCATTCAAAAAAATTACTTAAACTATCCAATTTCCTTACCTAATAGATTTACCTTCGATAATAAAACAAAACATTGTAGAAAATGGTATTGATGGGCTCAATTTCCTCATCTTTGATTAATTTGCACAAAACAATTATACTCCGTACTATATGTAATTTATACACGTATTATTTCAGATAATTTTCTCAATTGATTTATAAAAACAACTTTAATAGTGGAGCATACGTCTTTTATAAGACTAATCAAGACTTGCACGTATAGCCTAATACAAAAGATACTTAAAATGGTCTATTTATCGTTTATCAGCCTTAACATATTGAAATTATCCACCCCATCCCTCTTAAGTATAAAGTATTTTCACTAAATTTGACCCTAAATATAAATAAGAAAACCAGTATATATTTATATAAGTATCAATTTAACAAATCTATTAACTATTACTGAAACAAAACGTGCTGATATCATCAATTCCTTAAAGTGTCTTACTTAATAAAAAAATTCCCTCCAAACTTCAATATAATGTCATCAATTCTTTTTTCTTTTTTTTTTTTTTTTTTGCCCTTTCATTTTACTTACTAGAAATTAGACAAAGTAGGTATGAAACTAAAAATCTAAAACTTGAATTTTGTATCAATATTGTATTATTGTTGTATACTCCGTACTAATTTTGGATATTCCTAATACAACAATATTTAATAGATATAGATACTGTTTTTTTAAACTTCCACTCTAAAACGTATAAGCTCAATAGATAATGCAACATTAAATATATATTGTCTAATCATCATTTTAATATATTTTGAATAACATAGTAAATATTATGATGTAGCATAAAAAAAATAACCACTAAAGAAAGGATTATGTACATGTTTTTTTATATTTATAAAAACAATCTTTATACAAAAAATTTTTAAAAAAATTGAAAAGTTATCAACAACAACAGATATAAAAAAAATACGGATTAATTACTTATCACCACCGTGCAACGCACGAGTACTAATCTAATTAATGCACTAATTGTGCATAAGTATATACTTTGTATACATATAGTTAAAAAATACAAGTATTAAATTTTTTTAAAAAGATTGATATTATGAAACTTTAAATTAAATTTATTTAACGACATTTTATAAGACGACATTTTTTTGTACAACATTTGTTTTCAATATATTTATTAAAAAAATCATAGTCAAATTTAGCATATTAATAGCGATAAAAGTTTGTGTTAATCATCGTGGAGCGTAGAGAGTATCAAATTGCCAAGCTATCACCCTTTCCTACCAATTGAGATTGAGTTACGAGTATTAGTCTCATACAGTCATACTCCGTTGAATGCCGTATACTCAAGTCTTATGCATCATGCAGGCAGATGCCGTATTTCATTACCAACGCCACTAAACAATAAGTACTCCGAAAACGAGAAAAAAATTAAAAAAAAAAAAAAAAAAAAAAGTGAGAGAAAATGGAGAAACGACGAGCTTATGCACTGCTATGGCAATGGCGTGCTTCTTCAAGGCCTCTTTCCTCCAATCATCGTTCTTTACTTCCCAACTCTCTTCTCACTTCTCGATCCTCCGATTCAGGTTTCTTCTCTCTCCATTGATCGTTGCTTCTTTTCCTTCTATTTCTGTGCGAATTGCTCAATATTATGAAATTCTATTCTGCTAATCAATTTTTGAAGTGATTCAAAATTTGAACTAAAATCAAGTAGCATAACAATTGAATTTATCGCTTACTCAATTAATTTTGTCTATTTTTGGAATTATCATGTTTAAATACAGTAGCAACTATTGTAGATAAAATTGGAGAAAAGAGGGCGGGTAACAAAGGGTCAAGGGTCTGCGTTTTATGGTTAGGCAGTGGTGTAGATGAGATTTGATTTCGTGTCTCGGGTTTCACCCCCAATACTCTTGATCAATTAAGCAAGTTGACCTTCATTGTCCACAACTCCACACTAGCGGTGTGTTTGGATTGAAGGAAATGGAGGGAAAGGAAGGGAAGGGAAATGGAGAGATGGGGCATCTTTCATTTGGATTACAACTGAAGAAGGAAGGGAATTAGAGGGGAGAGAGAAATTGATCCCTCCAACAATGGAGAGATTTGGAAGTAAAACTCACCATTCTTCCCTCCCCTCCCTTTCTTTCTCCTCCTCTCTCCCCTTCTTTTCTTTCCCCTTTCTTTATCCAAACATACTATAGGTGTTGTATATGTCAAATTCTTTTTTAATTAATATGAAGGATGTAGTATTATATAATGTATACCAATATTCGAAACACTTGTATGACTATTAAAAATTATTGTTATTGGAGGGTGATCCATAATAGGGAAGTCCATGAAGTCAAATTGATTCCACAAATTAAAAAGAGAGGCATTGAGGATTTGGAGGGAGTAATTTTTTGTCAATCTCGTTGAAAGAATTATGAATAACGGTACTTGCTTTCATTGTCAATACGAGAAGGACAAGGAAAATGCCTAACAGGCCAAAAGATTCAGGGCTTTACAATTATGACTTAATGCTGATCTTCTAAATGGTTTGATGCTACACTGGTTTTAATTTAATGATTGTTGCTCTTTTCTTAATTTCAATTCATGTCCATAAGGCTTAGTTGTTGTTGTTGTTGCTCTTTTCGCACTCAAGGGGCAACACATATGCTCCTACCTTAGCAGGGGTTTTGTATAATGAAGATGTGGGAGTTTTAGTGGATAAGTATCATAGGCTCATAGTAGAAGAAGTACCTTGGTGGATCATTCATTCCACTTAGCATAAATAAAATTTTGGATGCACTTTCATAAGATAACATCAAACTTTTACAGGCTCTATGTTTAACTTTGGTAGAAGTTTCACATCATTAAGCTCATTCACCGAACAACAGAGGCAGAGTTTTCAGCAATTACTCAACATATTGATAGATCGCAGAGTGCTTCATCAGGGTACTTTTCTGAGAAGCTCAAATCTTCCTGTAAGATTTTATGGATCTGCACCAGTTGAGAGAAGTGCATCATTCTCAGAGATAAATACCAAGGATATCACCTACTTTAAGAGTATATTGAGGGAGAACAATGTAATACAGGACCCAGATAGGCTTCAGCCTGCAAACACAGATTGGATGCATAAGTACCAAGGCTCAAGCAAGCTTATGCTACTACCCAGGACCACTGAAGAGGTAATTGTCCATTTTTCTTGTCTAACTCTAATGCCAACTTAGGAAAGCAACTATGTTATGAATCATGATCTCGGCTTAGAAAAATCATTTGCTCATCACAGTGGTACTTGTAATGTGGATCGTTCTGGTCCGTGGTCAAACGTTGAAATAGGATTTAATCTTTGTGGAATGCTAGGTTTTATAGATAACTACTGTTCACCTATTAAGAAAAACTATGATTCTTTGTTTTGTACCCGTACAAATGAATTATAACTAAGTTGATCATAAGAAAAGGAAGCTTTAAGACTCGAATATATGCCCAAAGCCCCAAACAGCTTTCCAGGTTATTGTGAGAAATGGATTATGATGATTCTACTCAAACTATTTTGTTTCATTTTCCAGGTTTCTCATATAATGAGATATTGCAACTCTAGACATTTGGCTATCGTCCCTCAAGGGGGTAATACTGGTCTTGTTGGTGGAAGTGTGCCCGTCTTTGATGAGGTAATATAATATTTTTTGAAAGAACTAGGATTGTAACCCTTTTAATTTAACCAAGGAAATATTCTTTTAATATACGCTGTAAAATATATGAAAATGTACTTGTGTGTTACCATTATGTTGTTTGATCCATCATTTTGTCAAAGTATTGTCTTGTAGGCTGTGTGCTTTATGTCAAACACAACATTTTCACATCCCACTGGAAATGGCTGTTAGAAAACTTTGTTATGTGTGCCAGTCCTGGTAATATGTGCTGCAGATTTGAGCAGTTGATTGTAGCTTAACTGAACCAAATTCTGACTTCATAATGGCGCTGTTTAAGTGGTTAATCATGATTTATACAGTTGTCTCTCGATTGCTGGAATTTGTTAATCTGTCCTGAGCAGAGTTAGTACTTGAGTCCTTGTTTCTTCATATGTGTTTTTTTATATCAAGGTCTTGGATACCATTCCTTACGGACCTTACCAATTGTGTTAGTTGATATCTACATATACTGGTCTTTTTTAAGCTGTAAAGAATAAAGAATAAAGTTTAATATGTGGAATGATTGTTTCTCTTCTTTTTCTTTTGTAGGTTATTGTCAACGTGAGTCAAATGAACAAGATCATATCTTTCGATAAGGTATGCCTTATATCATACTTAATTAGTTAATCTATCATGTAGTAGTAGCAGTAGTAGTTAACTACTCTAAAAATCATGTAGGAATGCTAGCAAAAGTTGTAGGTAACTGTTTGAACTCTTAAAGATTTTATGGAATTAGTGGCAAAAAGGACATATAGTCTTAACAGACCTTGTAGCTTTTGTTCTTCATATTTATTATTTTCCCTCTATCAATGCATGATGAGTAACCCTGTGCTATTCATTAACTTTGGTATGCCTTCTAAATTGGATGATTAGATAAGAGTACTTTAGCTCCCATTTTTGTAATGCTTCCAATTGTAAAAACTTGTTGTATTTTTTTAGGTCAGTGGTATACTAGTTTGCGAAGCAGGATGCATATTGGAAAATCTGGAATCTTTTTTGGACAATGAAGGGTAAGCTCTGTTATGTTAATTCGTACTTCATATATATGGTATCTTAAGTGCCTAACTGTGCTACTAGGTCATTGAAAAATGAGCGCGATATGAAATTGGATAATTTGAGGTTGTGAAGGATCTTTCAGTTTTATTATTCTATTATGTGTTCAAATATTGTATCAACTTGTTCTTTTATGAATACTTATGCTCTTTTATCTTTCATTTCCAAATGTCTATTGTATATTAGTATGTATGATTGTGTGATGCTATAATGACCAGCTTTAGAAAAGTAGTATAATCCTTGCTTCAAGTAAATTTTTTTTTTGCAGTGCTATTTCAGATGTTGTATGTAATACTTATGCTGAATTTTTTTATTCTTTAGATTTGTGATGCCTCTTGATTTGGGAGCCAAAGGAAGCTGTCAGATAGGTGGAAATGTTTCTACCAATGCTGGTGGCTTACGCTTGGTTCGTTACGGATCTTTGCATGGAAATGTTTTAGGTAGTGTATCTTTGCATTTAGGTTTCCCTTATCCCAAGTTCCATGTATTAATTATGTTAACATGTTATACCTTTGCAGATGTTTTAAAATAATTTAAATGACAATTTCATAAAATTAAGCTATAAGCAAAAGAAATGTAAAATAGTGGTGTTTCAAGCCTACATAATTACTTTATTGTTTGCTTGGATCTATATCTGATAAATGGAAAATTAAATAGGATGCTTGTTTTTGAATTTCTTCATTGTAATGAATGATGAACTTCAAATGGAGGTTAGACATAGACTAGTACTCTGATGCAACTTTCAAACAAATTTTTTTAGCTGAAATAAAAATGCTTAGATTGACTTTCAGATGAAATAATTATTGGTGTTCTTAGCGTACAAGTGAGAAAGAGTGACTGATTAAGTCTAGAGACAGGTGGGGAACTATGGGAAGATTGACTCGGGACAAACATTAGGTAGGACTAGGATGGATTGGACCCTTGTGCATGGCTAGACTGATTTTACTTTAAGCTTAATGCATGTGATAGCTTGTGTCTTTGTTGCTTTGTGTTGACAGTACTGCTTCATGGTCCTCGCCTATGGATGGCAATGCTACACATGTGGTGTACCTTGCAAAATGCCCAATTGTAATTGCTGCTAACCACCTTTTATGTATGAAGAGGCACATCATTGGATATAGGTTGGAGACCTATAGTGCCGGGTAGTATTCCAAGGCCAAAAAGGCAAAAATCATGTTGGTTGGCTAAAGGCACATGCCACTTCATCCAGGGAAGTGGGTTTGTCATTGGTATTTTATAAATGGAAGACCAAGGTGTAGGGCCTTACTCATATCATCATATGTCTCTGTGCATGTACACTGTCCCTATTGCTGTTTGTATGTCATTTCTTTTGAGTAAGCTACCGTGATGAATTGAAGTGGCATTATGTGACTAGCCTGCGCTATGTGACTATATGCAAGATAAACAGGAAAAACATATGTAGAGTACTTTATTTTTGTAGGTTATTTCTATAGACATACCACTACTCAATTGGGTTTTAAGTTGTTGAAGAAAAATTTATACACTGCTTAATTTTAGGTTGCTTCCATTTTTTCATCTTGACATCAGAAATGATTTTATCAGCTACTGGTACAGCATTTACATGAGAATTCTTCTGTAGGCCTTGAAGCTGTTTCAGCCAATGGTACTGTGATGGACATGCTGGGTATCTTACGCAAAGATAACACTGGGTATGACTTGAAGCATTTGTTTATAGGTATGTGACTAAACTTTGATTTTGTTGTTGCTTTTTTTATTTTTTTTAGCAAGTCTAAGTAAGTGAATGATAACATGCAATCTTTGCCCCCTAATAGTAATGTATATATGCTTCTCTGGTCGCAGGAAGTGAAGGATCGCTTGGTATTGTGACTAAAGTTTCCATCCTTACTCCCCCAAAGCTTTCTGCTACTAACCTTGCCTTTTTGGCATGTAAAGACTATCTCAGCTGTCAGGTACCTTGCTAGTATCCAGCATGTAATGCCTATCATATTTATGTATGATCATAAGTTGTGTTCTTATTTTAAGCCTGAGTAGTGAACAGTGAAATTTTCTTACTGTGAACAATCAGTATTTAGTGGTGCCACCGAATAGATTTATGCTGTAGCTTGGAACCTGGTGGAATGTTTCTTTTCAATAAAGGCTTAGTTTGGACTCCAAGTTGAGTTAATTATCTAGACAGCTAGACTTAAATGTTTCCTTATTCCTATTGAGAGTGAGAAAATGTATTTTTTTTGGCTACAAATAAAGAGATCCATAGGTCCACACCACTGGAGAATTTAGAAATAAACTTATATTCAGAGTTAGAGTTTTGTCTCTCCATCGGAGATTTAAAGGGTTATGGAATGTTTTGTCTCTCCATCACAGATTCAAAGGGTTATGCAACTTTCATCTTTTATCTTCATTTGTTTTACAACATTGAGCAGACCTGTTACGATAGCTTGTGAGAATGTTTCCTTTGAGTGTTGCATGTTCAGCAAACCAAACCAAGTGTTAACCAACTTGTAGGATTCAGTGTGTGGATTCTCTATCTGGAAATTTCATCTGTTGCCCAGAAAGGTGAATGGAATGGAAAACCATATTTGTATATGTGCACTTATCTGCTTAATCTGATCAACTAATATATTTTGAGTCTTCTACTACATGTACTATCTAGTATAAACATAGTGCCTTGAAACTTGCATCCCACGCCTACTACACTGTAAACTCAAGAGTATGTTTTCTGGCATGTAGTTATTACTCTATCTGGAATCTAAAAATTTGAGTTAAAGATGGTTTGAACCTTGCCTTTATTCATTTAACTTCTGGGTCCAGTGAAATCTCTGAGGTGGTTATTTATCTTCCCGTGTCTACCGAAAACAAAGTCTGTTGCCATGGATGTCTAATAGGGATAAAAAGTAATTCAACCAATTAATCTTTCCTATGTAATTCTTACAGAAACTTTTATTTAAAGCCAGAAGGAAACTTGGAGAGGTCTTATCAGCGTTTGAGTTCTTGGATAGTCATGCAATGGACGCGGTAAGCTTTTTCTTTGATAGATATGGTATTAAGCTGCATTGTGTTGCAAATCCACATACACATGCTTGATATCTGAAAAATTGATTTTTGAACATCTGTTTAAACTTGCATCTCTGGCTGCACTGCTACCTTCTGTTAAAATAAAGCAAGATTTTTTAAACAGATTTGTGACTATGGTGTCTAAGTTTGATTCAAATAGCTAAATTTGACCAAGGGAAAATTTGGAAATTAAATCATTTAGTTTGTTAACTGGTTTATAGGTGTTAGAAGCCTAGAACGTAATTTGTGATGGTATTTTTGGTCACTTAAACGTTCTATGCCCTAACATTGTAACATATCTTGCAATTGCTTCCACAAATTTTGTTATTTTAAAGTATGACATGGGGATTCTGTGGTTAAACCATCAATCATTGGTTCTATTTGTTTTGGTAATTTGTTTTCTTGTTTTAACGCGAGTTTTAGGTATTTCAGAATGTCTAGAACATAATTGTGTGGGGAACGTGTCTTTCTCTCTTGCAAATGACTCTCCTGATAATTTCTTCAATACTTTCTTTGGATACCCAACTCTGTCACGTATATTTCTACTCCCCTTATTCCAGAGACAAATATACTACTGTAGTTAACTCCTGTCCTCGCATTATAGCAGCTATAGTAAAGTATGAAAAAAGTTCAATCTATTCAAACATCCAGTTAGGGTTTTGATGACTAATTTCTACCTTTGTGGCATACTGGATTACTGGCATTCTCTTCATATTATTCTAGCTTGCTATATAACCATATAAAAACTTCAGGTTTCTCTAGTCTCTTTATAATTTTATTTTATTTTTTATTTTTGGAGAATACACTAGTTTGTTTGTCATTTTATTAACATTCAGTTAGGTATTTGATGACTAATTTCTACCTTTGATGACTAATTTCAATGAACATCAATAAGATACAGAATTACCTGGCTGATTCTGTTACAGGTGTTGAATAATCTAGAAGGTGTTAGAAATCCATTGCCTCCTGCAGTGCACAACTTCTATGTTCTGATTGAGACCACAGGGAGTGATGAATCCTATGATAGGTATGTATCTGAAGTTATTAAGTTAGTTGTTGGTTTGCTGCTGTCTTGTATCTACCAAGGCACACAACAGTTGGCATGTTTTAATGTTGGTGTTTCTCTTCCATCAACGATGTCTAGATTGGTGGTACTTATAAGAGTTATAACACATATATACTTGTGTATTTATCTTTGACCAAGTAGCTAAGGGCTGTACCAAGCATAGACTCTCTCCCCGCCCCCCCCCCCCCCCCCCCCTCTCTCTCTGTTCCTAGGTTTTCTGTCTGAGCTGGTCTCTGCTCCCTTTTTCTCTAGCCTGACTCCTAACTGAGGCCCATCCACCCATCTTGCTAACTTTAAAGAAAAGTATGTGTAGTTTGTTTACATATTTTTTTATTGGTTGCCAACAGGATATTGTTATAAATAATGATTAGTAATTCATAGATCTGAAATTGGATGATGGTTATGTATCCAGAGAGAGGCTTGATACGTTCTTGTTTCGCTTGATGGAAAGTGGTTTAATATTAGATGGTGTGGTTGCACAAGACATTAATCAAGTATCTTCATTTTGGCGTATCCGTGAGGTTTCAACCTTAACCTTTCTTTTGTTTTTCCCATATATGTAATGATGATTGCCCATTTTGTATGTCTTTTTCCACGAATCATTAATTCTTAGAGGGAATCCATTGTGAATTCACATAGCTAAAATTTATCTTCACAATTTCATTATTTCTAATTCTGGGATTCTTGGCCCCCTATTATGACAACTATCCATTTTTCTATTTTAGATTCTGATTTCATATGCTGCAGATTGAGTCACAAAGCGTGTAAGAACAAGCCATAACCTTGCTAGTTATATTTAATTCTCTTATTTGTTGCCACGAAATTCATGCTTACTTTCTTATATGTTCTCAACTTCTCATAATGTTTTTGTACATAATCATTGCACTTTCCACCTAACCTTTTCCATTTCTGCTTATTTCCTTGTATTATGTGCTGTCTTGCATTATATATGTCGTTGGATCTTGCTATTCATATTCTTTTATTTCATTGGGCTTATAGCATCAGATTTTTTTACTATATTTGCAGGGTATACCAGAAGCGTTGATGAAGTTTGGGGCTGTATACAAGTATGATTTGTCTTTACCTTTGGAGAAAATGTATGATCTTGTTGACGAAATGCGAGCACGCCTAGGTAAAGCCCTCTGTTTTCTTTGCATCTTGGTATATCATGCTTTTCTTTGTTTCCTTTTAGCCTTAGGTTAGGTACTATGATTCATTATTTAGTGTCATTTCTGGAGTGGTGGGCATATTACCAGATGGAGATATGGATAAGAAAGCATTTCTTTCATAGGGAGGCCTTTCTCTATGGATGAGCAGCGTATCATGATGCTTAAAGCAAGGAGGAAATGTTTATGACTTACGGCCTAATGGAGCAACCTGAGAGAAGTTTGGTTAGAGTGAGGTTCGCCATCCATATTTTGTGTTGGAGAGGGGGGCAGGGTGTTTGTACTCTGGAAAATCTGTAAATTACAATGTAATGGTGGCATATGTTATTCAAAATTTGAATTACCCTATGTCTAAGTAGGTTTCAGTGAAAACCATGAAGATGCTCAAGAAAAGGTACAATATCCATGTGAATCATTATTTTTGACTAAACTGGAAGAGTGGAAGATATGGTACAAATTACATTGAGAAAACGGGGAATAAAAAAAGGGATTATGTAATTGCCGGACCAATTTAGTAATGTCATGTATCTGCACTTTGTTGTGGTCATTAAACCAAAATTTGAAGTTTCTCTAGTTTAACCAAATTGGTAAGTTATGGGAATCTAGCTCTCCCAGATTTCAGTCTTAGCATTAGCTTGGCCCCGTTTGTAGGTAACCCAGTCAAAGTTGTGGGGTACGGCCACCTGGGAGATAGCAACTTGCACCTCAATATAACATCTCCTCAGTATAATGATGATGTAAGTTCTTCTATCTTGTGGGATGGGTTGAACAGCATGCTGAATACTATTCCTAAATAAGTGTGAGTGTTGCAGATTTTAGCACAAATTGAGCCCTTTGTCTATGAGTGGACATCTAAGCATCGTGGGAGTATCAGCGCTGAGCATGGGATTGGATTGATGAAAGCAAATAAACTCTACTACAGCAAGTCGCCTGAAGTGGTAATGGTTGACTTTATCATTTGCATTAATTTTTTTTGTAAGCTGCTCCCCCTCCCCAAGGAGAATTGGGTAAAAAAAGTTCTGTTAAAATGTTTCTCCATTACAGATTTCAGGTCCTTAGCTTGCTTGCATGTCTTCTCTCCCTCTCCTTTTTTTTTTTTTTTTTTTTTTTTTTTGTTTTTTTTTTTTTTTTTCGCAGTAGATTTTCTATTAACAGTTTGCATTGAATCATGGCTTTCTTCTGTTATGGATGTATATCACTGGGATATGTATTTGATATTGTGGTTGATAAGATACCCATTCTGTAAACTTGAATTTTATGCTAACTGAAACAGGACAGATAAACCTGTCGGGTGTTTTCATGTCAACTGTATGCTCCCATTTCTTGCCTATCTTTCTCATACATCATTTTTCCCCATTAAAGTCTGAAACTTCTGGCAAATTTCACACAGGTACAATTAATGGTTTCTATCAAGAGGTTGATGGACCCGAATGGCATACTTAATCCCTATAAAGTTCTTCCACACTGTCTTAGTGCCAACAACTAGGGTAAGGCAGGGTTTCAACTAATTTAATTTATCAATCTCATGGTGTCAATTCTTCAAAATGAGACATATATTTTTGATGTTGATGCAGGCTAGAAGAACAACTTAGCCAGTTATAATACAGACAAGTCCTCTTCTTACATATACTGAATATCTCAACCAGCAGAAGATGGGTAATTGAAATCAATAAGAACCTAAAACAACATTCAAAAGTTATAACACAGAGAAGTCCACTTCTTTAACAGATGATTGCAAATTCCTGTTTACTGTAAATCTTGTATGTAAAATATGTCACAGCTGACTTAAAGACAACTTTTTCACAGGGCGACAATTCTAAATCAGGTTATGTTGTTTCCTACACTGTTCACTGCCTAAAGTCACTATGTGGCACACTTGACTATTGTTTTACATCTTCATGAAAAGTTCATTTAAACTCTTACTGAGTATTGTGCTAAGAATCCTGCCATTTATGTGATTCCTGTAGATCTTTTGACCTCTGATGAATGTCTCTGTTATGTTGAGGGTAAATATGATCTTTCTGGTTTGATAATGGACTGAAGTTCATGTTATTAGTCTAGTGATTCAGGTAATATACTTGCTACTTGTTGAAGAGTTCTCAGTCGTAATTGCGAATTTACTGCCCTGATTCACATTTATTCTCCTACAAGGCTACAACTAAAAAGCTTCTCTAAACTTTTGTAGACAAATAAGCTCCTCATGTATGAAGTATATATGCTTTAGCTTCATATCACTTGAACTTAAAGCAAGTTGTGTCTATGGCTGGATTTGGTGCTTGGAATCCCAGGTTGGGATTATATTGATACCATATTCTTCATGCACTAGTATTTGTGGAGTTATTATGTTCAATGTATCAAATTTATGTATCCTAGAATATTCTATAATACATATCATGGTATAATATTATGAATTTGAATATATAGATGGTATGTATATTTCGCATTTAAGATAGAAGTGGGCATAAAGTGGACATATGCTGGTTGCTGATTTGACAAGGTCCTTTCTCTCATTAGGTTGAAGATAATATTTAAAATTTGATTCAAGTATAGATGCCGATTTTTTCTTAAGGCGCTTCTTTTTTTTTTTATTTTTTTATTTTTTTATTTTTTTTTAAGATAGACCCTGTTTGGTGGTAGCGTTTTAGGTAACGGTTAGCGTTTGTTAACCGCTACATTGACAACTACTCGCTACTCTAACAACTACCCATTACTCGACTGCTAAAAGCTATTCGCTACCGCTAGTTTTGCCAAACAGAACCATAGTACGGAGGGTCTTCAGTTTGCTACTCCGTACTTCGTAAGTATTTCAACAAGTTAACAACTCAATGGGTTTATTTTACATACCAATAAAGTGTTGGTTCACTTGGTAAGTTTTTTACATCAAATCTTAGAGGTATGGGCTCAAATCCTACCAAGTGAGCGTGTTTAGGGGTAGGGATTCCTTTACCTTCCCCTTTACTCCCAAGAGTTTAAAATCGTGAGGGTTGATGTTTGATTAATGTTCCTTACCAAAAAAAAAAAAAAAAAAAAAAGGTGTTTATTTATTTAAGTTTGTCTATTATGTTTGTCAAGGAGATAAATTTGTATTTTCTCTTATTTAGTGTGAAAATTTTCTATTATTTTTTGCTATAATACATACTTCATTATTAACAACAACAATGGCGGAAGTAAGAGCAAGATTAGCCCTAGGTCTTAAGACTCTAGGTGACATCATCAATTTATGATTTTGTGGTCTTAAGACAAGACTTTAATTTTTTTAAGCATTTATGTGGCTTGGTCTTAACAAAATCTCAAGTGGAGTCTTGAAAATTCAAGACTCAACTTAACACTTCTACACTGTGTTTGATTAAAAAAAAATTAATTAACTTTTTTATTTTTTAAAAACATTAATTATTTGAGTTATATAAAAAAAAATGTAAATATGAATTTTAAATAGGATCGGATCGGATCGGATTGGGATTTTTTAAAAATTCGGATTGGATCAGTTTGACCCTAATCAGATCCAAACCAAACCGAAAACCGAATTTTAGAATTAAGCATGCATATTATGGAAGTTGCTGCTGTCTTAAGTCTTAAACTGCTGAAAGTTGCTGCTTGTTATTAGTATTTAGTGCATGGAGTAATTGTTGTAATGGACTAATGGTGTTGCCTTTTAGTTATACTAGTTATTTTAAACAATTTATTTTGATTTGATCTTAAACAATTTATGTTAATTATGACTATTTTCAAGATTTGCATTAATCTTAAGAATTGAATAAAATGTTATTTTTATGATTGCATTCTTATTTTTATATATCGTACTAGTTAATTACACGCTATAAACTAACGTATTTTAATTTGGATTTTCGGATCGGATCGGATTTTGATTCGGATTGGATTGGATGAGTAATTCGGATCAGATTGGATTGAAAAATTGAAAACCGAATTATATTTTGGATCGGATTGAATTTGGCCTAAATCCAAACCGAAAACCGAACGGGCACCCCTATCCATTGTTACAACCAGAGTAAATTTTTTTAAGGTAAGAAAAAAAAAAAACATTAAAAAATTGTTGAGTATAATACAAAAATCAATAGAGTATAATACAATTTGTGGTATAGTGGGCCATAATTACATACAAGTAGTATAATTTGGGAACAAATAAATAGTACTTACTCCTTTCGTTTCATACTGTACTTTTTAAATATTTCTCCGACAATTGAAATTCTCTCTTTCTTTCTGCCCCTCCGTTTACTCTTTCTCTCTCAATCAATCGCTGCTAACCAAGATGACCACCTCCTCCGCCACCTCTCGAAAGGTTTCTCTCTCTTACTCTCTTCTTCTTCTTTTTATAATCCGACTTTAAATTACACCAATTTCAATTTCTTCAAATTTTAATTTATATTGGATTTTTAATCTGGAAAAATTCTGATCTTTTTATGTTTCGATGTTTAAAAAGACACTTAGCAAAATAGCAAGCAATAGACTCCAAAAGGAACTCGCTGAGTGGCAGCTCAATCCTCCTACTGGTTTCAAGCACAAAGTCACTGATAATCTTCAAAGGTATTACCTTTTTTTTCAATTTTAATTTCAATTTTTTTCTAGGGTTTTGATCCAATGATCAAATTTTAAATTCTGGGTGTTATTCCTTTAATGATTTCGGGGTCTGGGTATTAATTTATATTCCCTAAATTTGATTGGATTATGAAAAAAAAGGTGGATAATTGAAGTGAATGGAGCACCAGGAACACTGTATGCAAATGAGATATACCAACTTCAAGTTGATTTTCCTGAGCATTACCCCATGGAAGCTCCTCAGGTCTCTTTCTATTCTTTTCAATTTGTTGATTTTCATATTAACTTTTCTTTTCTTTTCAAATTTTCAATTATATGTAAATTTTTGTAAAAAAATTGTTGTTTTTATTGTTGTTGGGATAGGTGATCTTTTTATCCCCAGCGCCAATTCATCCCCATATATACAGTAATGGCCATATATGCTTAGGTAAACTCTTCATTTTCACTTACATCAAAATTGTTACATTTTGTAATTCCTGCATACTCTTGTACTTGTTTGTACTACTCATGGTAGTCAATGTCCCATTATATTGTTTTCGTAACGATCTGGCTCCGTCGGGTCTTATCAATGGCTTTATTTTATCTCAAGTTTGGCTGTTTTATGAGAGTGAGGGATAGCTCCGGTGGTTAGAGCTCTTTTCCCGGTTCCAGGTGATCCTAGGATCGATTCTCATCACTCGTCCTAGTGGCTCTCTATACAACAAAATAAAATAAAAAAAGTTTGGCTGTTTTATGTTGAAACACTCTTTAGTTTATTAGAGTCTCACTGTGTTATATTCGTCTCTACCGAGTTTATATGGTGCTGGTGGTTCTTTCCATACCGAGACTTAGATTTGATGTTTTATGCTGCAAATTTAATCGGTAATCACCTGGATTAGTCTTAACTTATAAACCTTTTTTCTTTCCTATGAGTTCATAATTCTGTTATGCGTTATGTTCTGTGTTAAGATGCTCTTTGATTAATTATGTGTCATTCAACTCGATTAAATTATGTGTCTCATGGGGTGGGTTGATCCATTAATCTACCGATTTATCTTATACCTCCGTTCTATTAATATTACAATAAGGATGAAATTACGCATCCCAAAACACATTTTATATGCTAAATATCTATAATTGTGTAAGAGTAAAAATTATAAAAAGTTGATATTGTGAAAATATTTTATGAGATGAATCCAACAATCCCACATGACTATATTTTGCTTAACGTATGAATCATATTATATGGTCAAACAAGAGTGATGAATAGTGTAAAAAGTCCATTGTTGCAATAATAATAGAACGGAGGAAGCAGTTCTTTTCACTTGAATGGCTTCATAATATCATTTTGCAGTAATTGTGCTTATGGCTTTAGGTATAATCTGCTTGATTACATTATTATTGCATAGAACAGATGTCCTATGGCTTCTCCCATGGCATGCCCCTTTATCTGTTACCTGGTGAAATTTTCAGTAATGAGGGATTTCTTATATCTGTTGCTCTGAGAATACAATTTTTTAATCTCAGTAATTTGCTGATGTTATCAGATCTGTGACTGGGGCTAATTATTTTTCAAAATGGCATACTGCATACTAGCTCCTTCTGTTTAACACTTAATTAAATTTTCTTAAAATCCGTATCTAAACACTTGGATTTCCTTAAAATCCGTTTACTAACACTTGGATTTACTTCCCTGATGGCACTTTTTTAAGATTTTATAATTATGGCTTGGTTATCGTTGCAGATATTCTGTATGACTCATGGTCCCCGGCTATGACAGTGAGTTCTATCTGCATTAGCATTCTCTCAATGCTATCAAGTTCTACAGTGAAGGTGTGTCATCTGTTTCTCTTTGTACTTGTGTAATACTTGTATCATTGAAGAGAGGAAGGCTACTCCTAATGATGTCTGTGCAATGATCATCCGAATGGAATCCTATTTGTTATTTTAAATTCCTTTTCTGGTCTAATTTTGAACTCATCAACTTACAATGAGAGAAATCTACTAACGTTAAATTTTAACCTTGCAGGAAAGGCCAGAGGATAATGATCGCTATGTGAAGAACTGTAGAAATGGAAGATCTCCGAAGGAGACTAGGTGGTGGTTTCACGATGACAAAGTATGAAGATGTAAACAAATCTCTGTCATACTTGTTCATGACATCAGATTAGTCTTCTAACTCTTAAGATTATAATGAAAGAAAGCTTTCTTGGCAACCAGATTAATAGTTGTCCTTCTGTTTCATAGTAAATTGGGAAGGCTTTGTTTTTTGTATAGGATAAAACCTTGGTACTATTTCATAATGTGTGATGTTGATTGAAGCTGGGTCTTCAATGGGTGGTTTGAGGTTGCTCAAATACTCGAATTGTATGCTCATACGAATAATCTC